TCTGCTCATGTGTTTTTATAAAGAAAACAGATATTAGATTTGCAATTGTAGCAGTTTATGTTGATAATTTAAATTTAATAGGAATTCTTGAAGATCTCAACAAAACTGCAGATTATTTAAAAAATGAATTTGAGATGAAGGATTTAGAAAAAACTAAATTTTATCTCGGATTGCAAATTAAACATTTGGCATATGAATTATTTGTTCACCAATCTACGTATATAGAAAAAGTTTTAAAACATTTTTATATAAATAATGTACATCCATTGACATCACCTATGGTTGTTCGATCACTTAATATGAAAAAATATCCATTTCGTCCACTTGAAGATGGAGGAAAAAATTTTGGTTTCTAAAGTACCACATCTGAGTACAATTGGAGTATTATCTTGCAAATTGCACTCGATCCGAAATAGCTTTTTCTATAAATCTCCTTACAAGATATAACTCTACACCAACTCTAAGACATTTGAATAATGTTAAACATATTTTTCGTTACCTTAAGGGCACAGTTGATTTGAGATTATTTTTTTCTCAAAAATTGTGATATTTTTTAGTGGGATATGCAGATGCAGGTTATCTATTTGATCAACATAAAGCTAAATCACAAACATGTTATGTGTTTATACGTGGAGGAACAACTATATCATGGAGATTTGTGAAACAATCATTGACTTCAATGAAGCATGCCGAGAATGTATATGGTTGAGAAATACGACCCATCATATCCAAGCATTGCAGGTTATCTTCAACAAAAGATAGTCTAACAACTTTATATAAAGACAACGTAGCTTGTATTGCCCAACTTAAAGGAGGCTCTATCAAAGGTGACATGACAAAGCATATTTCTCCAAAATTCTTTCATACATGAGCTTCAAAAGAATGATGACATCGATATCCAACAAATTCGCTTAAGTGACAATGTGACTGATTTATTTACAAAAACATTGCCAACATTTACATTCAAGAAATTGGTTCAAAGGATTGAAATGCACCGACTCAAAGATCTTCAGTGATTTTTATTAGGGGGAGTAATTGTACTATTTTTCCTTAATCTAGGTTTTGTTCCGCTGGATTTTCCTAACAAGGTTTTAATGAGACAACATTTTCTTTATTCTCCAAAATATTGACAATCAACTATACTCTTTTTTCCTTTATTTGATTTTTATTAAACAAGGTTTTTAACTAGGTAGCGATTGTACAAATAATCATCAAAGGTGGAGTGTTGTAAAATAATGAGATAATTATTGATGATTATTTAGTCTTATTATGATACATGGATAAGTCTTATCTAATTTAGAAAATCTATTTTATTTCAACTGTAACTCTTATTTTGAACCTTATAAATATAGGATATTGATTCATAATAATACACTAATAAATTTTGACTCTCCATTTTTTCTCTTATTTTCTCTTTTCCCTTTAGTTTTATAACATTGTGAATATATTTATCCAAAAAAATTTGGCATCTTTTACCATTGACAAATTTAGCCTCGTTCATTTTTCTACTATTAAAATTCTACTTTATTTAATTTAAGTGGAGGTTTAATTTACGCCAGCTTCAAATTTCTACAAATGAAGCACATTCTTTTAGTGGCAATGTGAACATAGAAGTCACAAATATGACACTAAGGCCCCGTTTGATATAGCTTTGCTTATGCTTCTTATAAAAGAGTTTTTAGAGGAAACTGCCTTAATTTTTTATTGAAAAACTAATATTTAAAGGACTTGTAATTCTGAAAGTGTTTTTAGAGGAAGTCATATTAAACGAGATTCCTCTAAAAGCTCTTTAACCACCAAAAGCACTTTAACAAAATTAGCCAAACCAATCCACAAGCAGCTTTTGGATCTCAAAAGCCCCTTTTGACTTTTTCAAAAGTCATACCAAATAGATCCTAATTTTATTAGTCTTTAAGGCCAGTCATGTACCAAAAAAAAAAACTAGTAAATAACCTAGGATTTCAAATGTCAAGGACCTCAAAATAATAATAATAATAATAATAATAATAATAATAATAATAATAATAATAATAATAATAATAATAATAATAATAATAATAATAATAATAATAATAATAATAATAATAATAATAATAATAATAATAATAATAATAATAATAATAATAATAATAATAATAATAATAATAATAATAATAATAATAATAATAATAATAATAATAATAAATAACAAATAAAAAATTGGAATTTTACCTTACACAAAAAGTGGAGGCAGGAAGAAATACCAAAGTACAATCACTTCATCAATATTTTTACTTATTTGCTAGCAAGATTATATATTATCTTTATCAATTGAACAAGAAATCAAAACATTTTTCTGCTTATCTTTTTGTTTATTAAATCTAACATTGTATCAGACTCACCAACTTATGAATTTTGTTAATCTTGTTGAAGAACACCACAGTTTGTGATAAAGCACATAAAATACAATGATGTTTCGTGAGGACTAATATGGCTTGTCTTATTATCTGTGAGCTTGGTATGTACATTAAGTGGTGTGTAGTTAATGTGCACTAAAAAAAAATTAGAAATATATCTCGTTTAAATCAAAACATAAATCAAATAAAGACATAGTAAAAACCACGTTTGTTGAAACATGCTTAAATAATATAATATAATATAAAATATTTCGAGAGATCTAGTACGATGCATCCTATTTTCTTTGGAATTATTCTTCTTGTACAATCGGGGTTAAAAATCCCGGTTGAAAATGCACTCACAGGAGGGGGGGTCCAATATTTTTTATTCAACCTGAGCCCCACTCTAATGTGTCTAATTGTCAACCAGGATTATCAATCCCGATTGTACACATAGCACAATTGATTTTCTTTGTGAGACATCATAAGACATGTAATCAATACACATGTCAAATTAGAAACTACGCCAACCACACTATAGCACATATTGTAAAAATGTGGACTTGAGATGACGTACAATGACTTGTGATGTATATTTAGTCAAAACCAGTTAGGTGAAATGTACTTAAAGAGTAAAACACGAGTAAATGTTCCACGAGAACTATGATGAAATTTACTGATTTTCTGTTCGCTTGGGATGCATATTATGGGGCATGATGTGACCACATTGTAGAATGATAATGATGATGATAAGATATATAATTCAAATAGATAAATCATGACACGTATATCGAACATCTTAAATGAAAGATAGTGTGATGAAAGTTTAGTTAAATACAACATTATGTAATATGTCATATCTAAACCAAATAATAAATCACTATCTATGTTACATATAGAGACATGTAACAACAATATGTAACAAAGATAAACTTTACGTATCACGTGTTATTGATTGTGGGATTGATATGGCATTGACAATGGCGATGCACTATATATTTAGTCAAAAATCACATTTGTTAAATGTACCTTGTTCTGCATTTCATCATTGAATATTGGACATAATTGGTTGTGGTTAAGATAGGTGGTGATTACGATAACTGTACATTTGACATACATTTTAGAACGAAATGTAATGTGATAAGGTTAGTGTGAAATAAAAATTCCAGTGCTCCGTTATTACTACACATGAATAATATATGTTTATCATACACGTTAATCAACAATTTCGGAACTAATTAACTACAAAAGTTAAAAGGCAAATAATTTGGTTCAATAATGTGTGTTCCTTTAAAAATTAACCACTCATTGATGACAATAAGAAAAATAATTGAATTTTTAAAGGACAAAAATTCTATTGAAAAATAAATAAAAAACTTTTGGATCATTGTACTGTTCGCTTACTTCTTCTTCATGTTGGATGTCATGTCAATGGTTTCGATCAATTCTTGCGACTATGAGTGCCGTTCTTTAATAATGAAATCTTCAGTCAACAATGATTTTCAATCACAATATTCTTCATCTTCGCCACATGATATGTTTCCCACAGAGAATCTTAGATAACAATCGTGAGAGAACAACAATTTTTGGGAGTGTCCATTTCAAGGTAAGATTTTGGGATTGAAACAATTTGCAAAGTCGACTAGCAGAGAAGAAGTGATAAGATAAAGGAGAGGGTTGGAGCTTCTGTGGAAGGGATTATGTTCTGAATGAATATTGAATTAGGTGATTGGTTAGATATATTGACTAATTCAAGGGATTGGTAGTTTTATATCTTTGATTGATCACTAAAATTTAAAAATCAAGATTTGCTCGCTGAACTTAAGTTCATATTTTCGAGTACTCACTGAACTTAGGTCAATGTTTTCGATTGCTCACTGAAATTTAAAATGTTGAGTTTTGACCACCGAAATTTGGAATATGCCGTACGTTACTTACTAGAATAACTATTGAATTTTAAAAAATATCGAATTTACAATGAGTAATGTACAACATTTTTCAAAACTCAGTGATGTACAATATTTTTTAAAGTTCAGTGGCCAAAACTCTGACATTTTAAATTTTAATGAGCAATCAAAGACATGAACCTAAGTTCAGTGACTAAAATTCGATATTTTAAATTTTAGTGACCAATAAAAAACTTGGATCTAAATACAATGATCATTGGAACAATTAACTTTCTTGACATTAAAAAGTGAGCACTTTTACCACTTTTAGTGTTTGTGGAATAGAATAATGAGTATAGTAAGAATGAAATTAGATTTTAATTGGCATTACTAGGCGATACTTCCACTAGACAATCCAAAATGAATTATCCTTGGGTGACTGTCACAAGGGATTAAGCCACCGAAAATTGGTTAGAACCATTGTGTTTCGGGTTCACCTGACACAACCCAACTCATAACAGCTTGTTTGTCTCCTATTTCGGGAGAAAATATAGAGTTTTGAATAGTAATTTTTGAAAAATATGTGGTTGAAATTTAAAATTTTTTTATTGGTAAGTATAAAATATTTTATTGTGTGATTGTGTCGTGAAGAATGTTATTGTAGCAAATAATTTATTTTGTTAAAGGACGACAAATATGATCTAAAAAAAAAAAAAAAAAAATGCAATTTCATTAAAATGCCACAGGACAAAACAGATATCAAAATTAACTCCTTCAATCACCTGAACGATCACCGGAGCACAGCCGGAAATGTCGGAATTTCTAGACCTAGAATTCCAGGACGGAGTCCGCATGCCATGGAATGTTCTTCCCGGAACAAAAAGTGACGCGGCAAACTGCGTAATTCCGATCTCCGTCATCTACACTCCCTTAAAACCCCTCCCACCCACCGTCCCGCTCCTCCCCTACTCCCCGCTTCGCTGCCGCAACTGCCGATCCGTCATCAACCCTTTCGCGATTGTAGATTTCTCCTCCGCCAATAAGATCTGGATCTGCAGCTTCTGCCTCCAGCGTAACTACTTCCCGCCGCATTTCCAGTCGATATCCGACCAAAATTTGCCGGGGGAGCTCTACCCGCAGTGCACCACAATTGAGTATGAGACATCGGCTACGAATCAGAAGCCGCAAGTTGGGAGTAGTAACGTTTTCTTGATTGTGGTGGATACTTGTGTAATTGAGGAGGAACTCAGTTTCTTGAAATCCGCTTTGTTACAGGTGCAGCTGAATTCCCCCACACCCCCCCCAATAACGGGCTTTGAGGGGTAACTTATTTGATTAATGATGTTGTAAAATTTGGTAGAATTTTGTTATTTCTATTTGTTGGTTTATTTCAGGATTTCATGTTTATTAATGATAATTAGACATTCTGGTTAAATAGCAATATCCTCGAATGCGTGCAATTTACTGGAATTAATATTATAACTCAAAACCCCAAAGGACTTGAGGATATTTTTTCAGTGTTTACAGCTTCCCATTTTGCAGTTTGTGTGTGCATGCCAAGACTCTTTACATTTGTCCGCATTCATTAATTTTATTAATAACAACATCTTCTAAAAGATTTAGTTGCTAGATATAGAAGGACGTTAGTTATTCCACACGTGCCCAAATGTTCTTATAAGGCTCTACTCAGAATTTTTGTAAATTGAATAATTCTGGATGATTTTCTACTTATTTAAATGTTAAAGTGAGCAAATCACTAAAAGTTTTAACCTTTAATGAGGATATAAAATTTTAATGATGTGAGAGTAGGTAACTCAAGACTATCAGTTTACAAGAATCTGTGTTAACATTTTTTATAACATATTACAGATATAGATAAAGAAATTGATTTATCTCTCATTTAAAATCTTAACTATAAATGCATGCATCTACTTTGAAGAACTTTTTTGATTATTTTAATGCGGACCACTTATACATTGTTTCCTAAGACGAGGGGAAGACAGAGAAGAAGCTTGGTTTTTTATGCCCAGTTCATACTTTTAGATATTATTTGCTTAACATTTGACTGCATGCTTACACAATGTTATGTTCTATTTTCATATTATGCTGAGATAAGGAGCTTGGTTTGTTGAAGTTAAATGCCCACTTCATATTTCTACATTATTGGAGCACAATTATTTGTTCTATTATCTCTGCTGAGATAATACTTTCTGTTTCAACTTCCATTTTTCCATCTTTAAGGATGATGATCATATGTTCATGTGCAGGTGCTGGGAATGATACCTGAGAATTGTTTGATTGGGTTGATTACTTTTGGGACATACATACAAGTTCATGAGCTGGGGTTTTCTCAGATTCCCAAAGTGCATGTGTTCAAGGGGTCAAAGGAGGTGACTAAAGATCAGGTGTTAGAGCAGATGGGCTTCTTTGGAAAAAGGCCAAGGCCAACTACAGGCGTTATTGCAGGAGTAAGAGACGGACTATCACAGGAAAGTATTTCAAGGTTCCTTTTGCCAGCATCCGATTGTGAGTTTGTTCTTAGTTCGGTACGTTCTTGAGCGTGCTATTGCTGTACAAGTATGTTTATTCAAAAAATGATATTTTGTGTGAGTGTGGTGCATGTAGGTTCTGCATATCTTTCTGTCTTCTCATCTGTAAACTAAAGATGGCTTTAGCAATGCCCTTTTTTTTAGTACTACAATGTGTAGTATGGGTACTTCTTTTTATGTTTATTTTTTTTCTTGGTTTTATTGAAAAATCTACATTTGATAAGTAGATACATTGGATTTCTTAGCTTTTGATGTTTTCATTTGTGGTTTCCCCCCCTGTTTACAAGATATTAGAGGAGCTTCAGAAAGATCCTTGGCCGGTGCCATCAAATCAACGGGCTTCTAGGTGTACAGGTACAGCATTGAGTGTGGCTGCTCATTTGTTGGGATTATGCGTACCTGGTTCTGGAGCCAGAATTATGGCATTTCTAGGCGGACCATCAACGGAAGGGCCAGGGACTGTAAGTCAGTTTGTCTACACTGAAATATTATTAGCATATGACACTGAAAAGTATTGCAGTTGTGTATTTTTCTTTTCTTAATTGCTTAGTGAGAAAGGAAAGATACATTATACGGGGGAATAAAGGATAAAACTTAAGCATGACAATTATGTGCTAATATACTTAAAGAAATTTTTCTAGGGTTTGTTTTGGCATCAAAAGTCTATTATAGCAAAAGCACCCCAACATTTGTATCAGCACAGACCATGTCTTGTACAATTTACTGCTAGTTCACAGAGCATCAAAAAGCATTGAGCGGAGATAAATTATATTGCAGATAAAGAACCCACTTATTCACAATAATTTTCTCTTATCTCATCTACTATTGACAAATCTTTTCCCCATTGAATTCCACTGTAGTACTCTCCATAGGTGTCTTTTACTCTTCGTTCTCCAGGGCAATGGGGATTTATGATCTCTGGGCAGAACCACAATGAAAGATTTCCAGTGCAGAAGCATATTCATTTACAATACTCTTCCTCTTTCTCCACTCCTATTTTATAGGCTTAGAGTTCCTGAAAGGGCCCAACCTTGACTATCATTGCAAACAGACCAAAATATATCCTAAGATTGTTTGTTTCCTCTAGAGCAAGGTATCAGATCATCTATAAACTAAACAGTAAAGGACCATGGCGTGATTAACTGCTTCCATATCATCAAGATTCTTAGCCCCTTCCATGGGCATTGCTTTTACTTCCGACTCTTGCACTGAGGGATTGGTTGGCTGGCGTCCAAAGAAGAATATTTTTCCAGGGTAAGGTACAAAATTTCTTGGCCTGTAGGAATATGCTGGATTCTTGAGTAAAACAGTAGATGATGACATATGTACAGCTAATGAGAGTGAGGGGTGGGCTTCCTAGTTCCTGCTGTATGTGGAAATTTTTGCTATCAATCTGAAACATGATAGCGTATCTGATTCCCTTTGCATAAGAAAACTATGGTAGGAAATGCTTTTGCTGAATATTGGGAGGATAGTGCTGAAAAATTGGAGTCCAATAATATTTTCTCCAGAAAACTCCGAGGTCAGTACGATTCCAGAATGTGGTGAAACATTTGGAATGTTATAGGTTGAATGCGTCTTGCAGGGGACTAACAGGGTAGCTAGTGCATATGTGTGATAGGATGACGAAGACTTCACATCAGTAGATGGGATGCGGGGAACTTAGTATCATGTCAATTTCAAATAAGTATTTTATTTTGTCCATCTTCCCCAAGATTTGGCCCATGACCCCAATCTAAAGGAGAAAAAATATAGTAAAGAGAAAGATAGTAATAGAGTGGTGAATCGCTTCTGTTCACTTCATTAATAAACGTCATAAAAATGGGAAATTTATCTGGGACTCGTATAGAACCTTAACTTTTTCCCTTTCCATGCTTTGCAAATGGCAGTCTTGAGGATTATTACTGGCCCTTGCATCTAAGCATGGCAAAATACAATTGCTACCATTTGAATTCATTTACTTCACGTAGTCATTCCATAACTACATTAGTAGCACAAAAATGACAAACATCTTTCATAGAAAGCTTCAACTACTAGCAAGAAATAATTCTACTCATTGAAAGAAAAAGAAAGCCTAGCATGAAAATTTGGTCATATGTGGAACTAGATTTAATTCTTTTTGTTTTACTTCAATGTTTATGTTTGAAATTATATTTGCAGATTGTGTCTAAAAATCTGTCTGAACCTATGCGTTCTCACAAGGACCTGGACAAAGATTCTGCACCTCATTATCACAAAGCTGTGAAGTTCTATGAAGAACTTTCAAAGCAGCTGGTTCATCAGGGACATGTGCTAGATGTTTTTGCTTGTGCACTTGATCAGGTATTAATGCCCTTTTTTATGGAAAAAGAAATGTTTTGATTTGAGTCCAAGGTTCTATGCCCTTTCTGTTATGTTTCAAATGAATCCTATTTGGAACTTTTGAAAATTATATGCTTGCTTAATTGATCTAATGATCTTGATGTTTTAGTTATAGTATTTTTCATTTCGCAGCAAGGTGATTTTCTATACTATTGGTTCTGTTTACCAAATTTTCTTGACTGGTATCTCACACTAGGTTTTGATACCCTGGAAAAGCAAGTTAAAATTGGAGAGGAAGTAAGAGACAAAAGAATATTGATACATTAGTTGGCTTGTGTGAATGCTTAGGAAGGTTGCCCTTGGATGTTCTTTACAAAGTTGTAGATTATGTAGCACGGACACTCTAACTAGGGTAGCGTGTTTGTACTCGACACTCTTTGGACACACTATAATAATCATTTTTCTTTCTTACTATGGCTATTATATGTTTGTTACTCAAAATTATGAATAAATAACAAATAAGTACTCATATTTAAAAGATTTCAACAAGAAAAATCAATAATAAGTATAAAAATAAATTTATACTATATAAATGAAGAATTTTAAAAAATTTAATAAACTTGTCGACGAGGTGTCGTGTCGGACAAATGTTTCTGTATCGGTGCATCATAGGTTGTAAACAATGGAGAACATAATTTGAGCTATTTTTTCGACTAGGAAAGTGAAATTGCAGTCACTGCCCCATTCTTTTGGGTATTGGTAATTGAGTCTACATTCTAATTCATTTGATGAACAGTTCCCTAACTTCGGTTTTCAGGACTAAGAGGTCCTTTCAAGAGGTTTGCATGTAAAGTAAGCTTTGATTACAGTGAAAAGACATTTTTGCCCTCACAAACAAATAATTACTTTCAATTAGTCAAACAATAATTAAAAAAGAAAACAAAAATGAAAAAGATAGATGTTCTTCTTCACCACTTGACCACTTCCTCTCCCACTGTTTGGATCTATCCCTCTTCTTCCCTATGCAGTCCAGCCATCTCCCTCTCCGTCCTTCCCAATAATTTCCTTAACTTCCATAAACAGCTGTATTCTGTACCCCAATTTTGCCCTCAACATCGTGATCCAAACCATGACTCATGTTGGATGCAGAGATTCATGAAAAATAGGACAGAGTGGAGGATCAACTTTGCAGTGAATAATTGGTATCGATAGAGAAAAAGAACTTGTCATGAACTAAAACGCGAAAATTTTAACGTGTCACATGTAAAATATTTTGAAAAGTTTATCATAAGCAGCCAGCAGCGTGTAACCAGTTAATTAATCTTTCAATTTATGAGGAACTAATACATAATTGTAATCTCCTCAAAGTTAGATCAGCGACCTTTCAAGGTTTTCCTATCTCTACAATAATATTTTTATTGGTCACTCAGTTGAATTAACTAACAAATATGTTCTGATTAATGAAGACATTAATCTGCGCTATTTATATGTTTGCAGTGACAATTGACAAGAGCTCAAACTTAAAATCTTTTGGGTTTATAAAAGATTTGAGAATCAATGGAGAAAATACTGTAGTTTTTGTCTGTGCATGTGGGTTGGGGGTTGGGCAGTGCTGGGGAAGGAGGGACTTGGACACTGGGTGGGGGTGGTACTGCAATTGGGGATGGGAGAGTTGGACTGGATGGTAGGAGGAGGGAGTTTATTTTTCTTTATGTTTTCTTTTGTTGTTTATTTGAAGTTCCACTAAGTTATGCCTGCTTTGGATGGAAACCATCTGAAAGGACATATTTGCCATGAAAATTGAACTTCTAAGATTCACCTGCCAAAAAAAGTGGAACGGGGACCCAATTCCCAATCACCCCCAATGAATGGGAACCATGCCTTCAATTTTCCCCTCTAGGGAACTAGATTAGATGGAACCAGCAATCAGTGCAACAGCTGAGCACTTCTGACACTGTAGCATTTGCTCTAGTAGTGCCTCATTGCACCTTTTGAGTCTATATTTTTTCTCCTGAGATAGGTGGAGTCGTGGACATCAAAGGAGATAACTAATGCCTTTCTATCTTTTTTACCTTCATTGGTCTGGATTTATTGGCTATCACATTGACATTTTAAATTGCAATAACACTTAGCTCATTAGGATGGAAGGCAGAATAACTGCTTTAGTTTTTGATCTGGAGAAGTGAGTGGCTTTCCATGGCTTCTTTATCTTCAGCTATTCTCTCAAAGTTCATTTTCAACGAAGAAGGATTTTACGTGGTTAAGACCCTTGTAGGATATAAAAATTCGTGCTGGTATTATGAACAATCCCAATGAAAATGGAAGTTGGATGATGATGGACAAAGATGGAAGTGGGTGGAGATATAAAAGATTTTAAAAGGGGTATCTTGTGAGGAAAACTCAAGTGGTTCCAATGGCGGAAAGACACAACGGAAACGGAACTTTTGTGACTTAAGAAGTGAGCGTTCTTTTTACTTCTTGTTAATAGCTACTGGCCTTTTTTCCTAACTGAAATCGAGGTGGTGGTATACTAGTGTTATAGCAAATACTTTCTGGTAGATTTATCTCTTGGGCTCATGCTTGCCCACTTCTTTTCGATATGGTTGTATATGCATTGACATAAAGTTTTTCCTTGTGTATAAGATTTTTATTTTTCCCCATAATTTAGCATTTGAATTGATGATGGGTTTGGGTTGGCTAAAATATGTTGAATTATGCATGTCATTCTCAAACTGTGCTTGTTACTTGGAACTGAGAAATCTTCACTCTCTTTGATAAATCACCTTCTTTGATTACTAGGTGGGGATTGCTGAGCTTAAAGTTGCGGTTGAGAAAACTGGAGGGCTTGTTGTTTTGGCTGAAAGTTTTGGCCATTCTGTTTTCAAGGATTCTTTGAGTCGTGTTGTTCAGTCTGGTGACCACGATCTGGGACTGTCATCAAAGTAAGGTTTGGATTGACTCTTGATTTCTTCTTGTGGTACAATTTTATAGAATTATCTGTACTACGTATTTCTTCACTCTTACAATATTTATTTCAACTTAAATTTGTTTCGTGAGAGTTCTGAAAGGTCTCTAGTCAACATGGTTCCCTAATTGACATGAAATCACCATAATTTTGTATATTGTGCCTTGGGTGCCTTTTTGCTTCTATGATTTAATGAGAACTGATTTCTTTTCAACTTACTTGATTCGTTGTGCCTATAAGGATTCACGAGATGTTCCCAAGGTTCATGTAATAAGATTTAGGGAAATTGTGACCCTCTTTCTTTATCAGGACTTGGTACCATTTGTGAAAAAATATAGGCGGAATAAAAGAACATTTTCACCATTTTAGAATAAAGAAAACAATTTACCAGAAATAAATTATTTTAAGTTGCAATATAGGTGACTTTACTTAAGCATAAAAGAAAGCTCGCATTGAAACGGACAATTATGGTTCAGATTTTTGTGGGATAACTATGATGAGGATCTGGACGGAATGAAATAGTGTTGGGTAAACCTCTGGGATGCCCTTCACTTTGAGATAAAACAGTTATTGTATATTGACATGACGAAAGGGGCCACAATCACTAGGCAGACTTTTGTGGCAGATGCTGAAAATTTTGGCTGGACTTGGAAGAGATGAAATGATTTAGAACCTTTTATTGATCTCCTATGGATCACTGATGACAAGAGAGGAAAGGAGTTATTTTGTGTATCACAAACAGATAAAGATAGTAGAATGATAAAGAAGATGGAAACAAGAAAAGATGGTGATGCAATGGAGTTGGGGATGAGTAGGAGATCAAACAATTTCATTGGTTTTTGTTCAAATTTTAAGACGATACATACTTGAAATACACAAGCAGCGTTTGAAAACAGGCACTGCTTCAAACTGTGGCAGAGAGTACAATGCAAGTGAACGAGTCCTGAAAAGTCAAAGTGGCTCATTTCTATCCATTGCCATCGTCATCATTGAAACAAGTATGAAAAATAATCTAAATTTTAGCAACTATACTATATTTAATTATCTTCATAGATTTCATAGGCAACTGAACTGCGAAGCGAAACTAGTGTTGTTACATAAAAACAATTTCTCCAAAACCATTATTTGCTTTTTATCAGTCTTACACTGGTCCCAAAGTTGGATTGCCAAAATGAACCCTGAAGAGCTCATTAGACATTTAAGCTTTGGGACTCAATAAGTTGAACTCCAAGAAAATTTCAGTTTTCTTTTGCTATTGTAGTTATTAAAGCACATGCTTGCACACACAAGTCTTTCATTCTTACATATGGGCCATGGTACTAGCATGGCACTTTGACTTAATACATTGCTCAGTCAAATTTTGTGGCAGACAACTCATCCGTGGTTAGTAAGCATGAGCAAGTGCTGAATAATATTTGATCTTAATTTTCTGTTGGAAATGTTGAAAATTAAAAAGGAAGTGCTAAATAATTTATTTCTTCCTTTCCTTTACCCGTTGATGTAAAATGATTCTCTATATTAATAGAAAATTCTTACAATGAAAGAGATTATCATATTCTCACAATTTAAGTAGATAAGTGAGATCTAGAAAGAAAATGAAAATGGGCGGAATAGTGGTTTTTTTTTTTTTTTTTGAAAAATGAATGGTTAAAAAAGAAGGAAAAGTTTTCAATTTACGTGTAATATTATTTTATGAAAGATCTTGTGGTTAGAAATAGGAGAGAGAAAAATGGAATGGAATTTAATGAGGGTCAAATGGGAGCTAAATCAATCCTTATAAATTCTTTGTAGTGCAGGAATTTAAATTTCAGTAAATGTCCATTATCCATCTTTACAACTATCCACTCACACAAGAAACCACCACATAATATAAATATATTGTATCCTTATCTAGTATTTCACTTCTCTTTAGGTTCAAAGACTTGAATTGTCTTCTTTCTTTTTTCTTTTCGCAATTTCACAACAATTTATAATCATCATTGTAACACGTATATTTAGTTAGACTACTTGGCGTCTGATTTTGTAAATTGGTTGATGCTGCCATCAATTTTAATACTTGCATTAGCATAACATGTGTAATGTAGAACATTACAACTACAATTAATAATTTCCTACAACAATTATGTTTTTTCTTTTCTAGGAGTTTATTTTCTAATATGTGTATTTAGTTTTCTTGTATAATTGTGATAGGACTTTTATATTTTATTTGATTAGGATTATAATTTCCATTAGTTTCAATTTCTTAATACTATTGGAAGTTGGAAATAATCTTACCTATAAATATGGGGGTATTGTATATTTTTCATAACAATCAATTATGATTCAATATATATTTGACATGATTGTTCAAATATCGTTTTTATTTATTAAATAGTTCTTATAAAGAGAATTCCATAACGCTTCCGCACCAGAATTGGTATTAGAGCAAGGACATTGCCTTAATCTGATGGCTAACGATGGTCTCGATGGCAGTCGAATCCCTTACGACGAATGGTGTCTCGACAAACTCGAACAACGAGTCGAGAGGATCGACGAAATCCGTCACAACATCATACAGATGCTATTGCGTTGAGTCTTGAAAAGGATCACGAGCTCATGGAGAAGCAAGCTAACAAAAATTTGTATACTTTAACTGCTATTAATGTTAGTTGTTTCAACAAGCATATAACATGGCAACACGTGACTAGAGAATTTCCTCGAGTCCCAGCTAAGTTCGAAAACATATTAGTTATCAATGATCCTTTTCTTCAACAAAACTCGATGAGGAGTTTTCTTCAAATGGAGGGGATTGATGTAGTACATTACAACTACAATTAGTAATTTCTTACAACAATTATGTTTTATCTTTTCTTGGAGTTTATTTTCTAATATGTGTTTAGTTTTCTTGTATAATTGTGATAGGATTTTTATATTTTATTTGATTAGGATTGTAATTTCCATTAGTTTCAATTTCCTAATACTATTGGAAGTTGGATATAATCTTACCTATAAATATGGGGGTATTGTATATTTTTCATAACAATCAATTATTATTCAATATATACATGACATGATTGTTCAAATATCGTTTTTATTTATTACATAATTCTTATTACAAAAATTTCATAAAGCTTCCGCACCAAAATTGGTAACAGAGCAATGAAATATCCTTAATCTAATGGCTAACAATGGTCCTGGTGGCAGTCGAATCGCTTACGACGAACGGTGGCTCGACAAACTCGAACAACGAGTCGAGGGGATCGATGAAATCCGTCACAACAACACGCAGATGCTATTGCGTTGAGTTTTGAAAAAGATCACGAGCTCATGAAGAAGCAAGCTGACAAAAATTTGCACACTTTAACAACTATGAATGTTAGTTGTTTCAACAAGTATATAACACGACAATATGTGACTAGAGAATTTCCTCGAGTCTCAGCCAAGTTCGAAAACATACTAGTTATCAATGATCCTTTTCTTCAACAAAACTCGACGACGAGTTTTCTTCAAGTGGAGGGGATTGATGAGTACATTACGACTACAATTAATAATTTCCTACAACAATTATGTTTTATCTTTTCTTAGAGTTTATTTTCTAATGTGTATATTTAGTTTTCTTGTATAATTGTGATAGGATTTTTTTATACTTTATTTGATTATGATTGTAATTTCCATTAGTTTCAATTTCCTAATCCTATTGGAAATTGGAAATAATCTTACCAATAAATATGGGGTATTGTATATTTTTTCATAACAATCAATTATTATTCAATATATACATGACATGATTGTTCAAATATCGTTTTTATTTATTACATAATTCTTATTGCAAGAATTTCATAAGGCTTTCGCACCAATGTGTGCCATCAATCGTAATACATGCACTAGCATAACATGTGCAGAGAATGAAATTAATTGGAATTTGTACTATTTAAAAGGGGTCAAGTAATTAATTCGGGAATGTGAACTGCGCAAGATGTTTAGTGCATAGAAGTATTTGAAAATGTATCTATTAGCAAAGATATGATGTTTTTTCAACAATTTAATATTTGCGATCCTTCTATAGAACTGTCAGAAGAGTAATCCAATGTCATTTTTATTCGTTAGGTAACAAGGTATCATCTTGAGTATAAATTTTTCTATTTTTACACTTTTATATAAACAATACAAAATAAATAACATTTTTGGTTCCATGTATTTAGCAGTACCTGTTTTATGTTCAGTTGTAACATGTTATTTGAGTGAACTCGAAAGCTGGCTTTATTATTATTTCATCATTTTTCTGTATAATGAAGAAGCTGAAGGTAAATATACTTTCCATTCACGCACCATTTAGTTATATTAAGCAAAATTAACAATGGTCACACCCTTAAGAAAGAGATGAACATTTATTTTGGTGCCTCCTCATCCAATCTGCTTGAAATTCTGCATTGCTCCTTTTTTGATGTTGGAGAACAAATTTTCGTTTGAAGCTTCCTTGCCTGAAGTACGTAGTTGATAAGCTGCATCCTCCACCAAGAATCATTGTTTATGATGGATGTATTATCATGAATTTGTGATATATTACTGGTACTTTTTGCGTATGTTGTATTAAGACATGAAATCTATGAACAATTATTTGGTCACAGCATGCCAATGATTTTTGCTTCTGAAATTGTTGGGGATACTACCTTCTCAACAAGCTATCTAACTGTATTTTATGATACTACCTTCTCAACGAGCTATCTAACTGTATTTTATTCTTCTTCTCAAGTCTAATGAAATATTGTCATTACGCTCAACTAGCATTTATTTATCTGGATATCTAATTACTATATACAAAAAAAAGGTTAGGTGCTTGGTGTATCTTCTATAAATACATGGTTCAACTAATGTGCAAAGTTTGATTAAGTCAGGAGGCAGGTGTTCCACTTGATTATTTTGTTATTATTAACTGTGTAAGGTATTCTAATACATTTATTGTATGCAGTGGTATATTTGAGATCAGTTGCTCAAAGGATATCAAAATTCAGGGAATTATCGGTCCATGTGCATCACTTGAAAAGGTTTAACCTATAGTTATTGAAGGATTTTCCAAATCTGCATCAGGTAGATTTTTATGAATTTGTGGTCTTGTGCAGAAAGGTCCTGTGTGCTCTGAAACTGTAATTGGGCAGGGAAATACCACTGCATGGAAGTTGTGTGGCCTTGACAAAACTACTTCCTTGTGTTTAATATTTGATGTTGTCAAGAAAGAGATCTCAGATGCTGTTGCTTTTTTTTTTGGTTTGTGGGGGGGGGGGGGGGGGGGGAGCATCTCTACACTGCATTAAAATCTACCAGATGTTCACCCTGATAAAACTAGTAATGTCCATCCACAGGATAATTTGTAAGATGTAATTCATATGTGGTAAACTGGATGCTTAGAAGTTCCATCTAGTAACCAGACCAAACCCCCCCCCCCTACTCGCTTCATGAAGAAAACGAACGATATAATATCTCCTTGGACGCAGGAAGTTTTTGAACACATCCACAGAACTGTGATCTATACTTTTGACCAAGTAAGAAGTTAACTATCTCCTCTGCTGGTACCTTTTTGTGGGCAAGGCACATACTAGTGATACAGTGACAAATTAGGAAGGAGAACCACAATGTTCAACATGACGTGGGTTGATATCCCATGAATGGAATGAGTCAATGAATTTTAGTTTCTTTTGACACTTCTTCAATCCCCTGATACTAGCTTTACTCCCGCCAAGTTCTTTATTGGCCCACTTTAGTGGCTCAGTCAAGGACTGCTGGACTGAAAACAGGAAGAAAACACAGGCTCATATACACATGCAAGGGAAAAAATAATTCCCAAAAATTTATTTTTGTACACTGTCAATATCTTCTTCCAATTTTTCCCTCCTCTTGGGGAGTACTAAAATTCTGTGTTGCTTTCTATTCACTCCTGAATATGGCCAACTATGCCAATATTTATTTTGTTATTATTCTTCTCTAGGAACTAATTTCTGGATTTGACCAAGAAGCAGCTGCCGTAGTCATGGCACGTCAAGTTTCTATCAAAATGGAAAACGAGGTTGTATACTCGTCCTCTTTTTTTATGTTGAGTTGGTTGCAAGGAAACTTGTTTATTCATCTTGTGCTGGAACAAGGACAATGTTACGAGAATTTTGTTGTCTGTTTTGGTCTAAGCAATTGTGTGCGGAACCATTTGTCTCTTACTTAGTGTAAGGTGACCTTCAATGAAGTCAAGTACAATTTTTTATTGCCTTCGTCTCTGCACTGTCTTGGTGCTTGGCTTTGTAGCAACTTTGAGGATTACATTTGCCGGCCGATTATGAGAGTGATTAGAACTTTAAAAATTTCTAGTCTGGATTTTTAGATTATCATGTTTCCACTTTCTTCGTTCCTTGGAGAGATCATGTAAGATACCTGTAAACTTGATGGTTATGTGCTGCATTCGAGCTTGAAAATACTTGCCCTTGTCCTGAATATGCCGATTTGATGCTAATTCTTTTGCTGACATCTTTACAAAATGTATTTTCTGTGAAATGCCTTGGTTCCTGAATATATGTTGATTCCAGTATCAGCAACTATTGGGGCTGAAGCATGTTCACTATCGACTGTGGAATTTAGATGAACTATGTAACGAGTATTTACTAATTTATTAGTTTTCTAATATGTCTAGAGTTGTAAACTCTGTTGATGGTCATTGTGTGAACTTACAAGATAGGTGCTTATTTTGTTGAGTTAGATTTAATTTCAGTTACGTGGTATATACAAACTTAACTTAGTGTACAATGATTTGCCTCTTCACCTTGGTATTTGACATTTGCAAGTTTTTTACTATCCAAGTTTGATATTCCTTGCAGGCTGAATTTGACCCCATTAGATGGTTGGATAAATCATTGATTCATTTATGTTCTCGGTTTGGGGAGTACCAGAAGGATGCCCCATCTTCTTTCACCTTATCTCCTAGATTTTCAATATTTCCTCAATTCATGTTTAATTTACGACGTTCACAATTTGTCCAGGTACATGGTATCTTATTTATATGTATTAATTGTTCCTTGTACACATTT